TATGGCTTGGATTAGTCCCACCTTAGTCTTCAAACTAATATTGTTTGTCTTTGGCACTCTGGAGACTTCCCGGACAACAAAGTTTTCCAATGCAGTATGTCTTTTGATTTCTAGACGGTGATGACGACGACTACTACTACAACCAGAGATGTTGATTGTGAATCCAAGTAAAATTAAATCTTTGACCACTTCATTCTTTACTTCATCTATAAGGATATTGCCTATCACCAATGGTGAGGATTTTTGTTTTCTTGATATAGAGGTATAATCCATACTGGTCTATAGTCATGTGCTTCAAAATTTCTTAATTTCCAGAGCTGCAGATTATTGGTGTTGTTGTTCTTGTTATAAGCTGTTGATTCAACTGCAATTCACAGTGACATATAAACAACGAATCTGAATCTTGTCCTTTTCTCGGTCATCCTCATCATCTCTGACATACTTGGGCCCATTGTTATAATCATTGTGCCAAACCATCTTGTTCTGGGTCTTCTTTTCTTGCACTGACCCTCCACTTTTCCAAGCACAATTCCCTTCTCTGAGAATTTGGACTCCTGATAAACATTCCCAAAGTATGTGAGATGTAATGTCACCATTTTTACTTACAAGGAGTACTTTGATTTCTCTTTCTCCAAGACGGACCCATTTGTTCTCTTGGCAGTCCATATGGTATTCAATAATCTTCTCGAGCACCACACCTCAAAGGCATCAATTCTTCTGTAATCTTTAGTCACTCTCCAACTTTCTGATACATAGCAAGTAATTGATAAGACCATAGCTTGAATAAAGTACACCTTAGTCTTTAAACTAGCATCATTTCTCTTTAGCACTTTGAAGAAGACCTTGACAGGAGACTTTTCCAATGTGACTCGTATTTCATTTTCTTGATTGTGGATTCAAGTAAAATAAAATGATTGACAACTGCAATCTTTTCTCCGTCTACGATGATGTTGACTGTTGGCCCAGTGGTGAAGATTTTTGTTTTCTTGATGTTGAGATGTAAATCCAGCTTCTACAATGATTTGTTCAGCACACAGATCGAATAAGAATGGAGAAAGATATAACTCTGATACATACCTTTCTTGATTTTAAACCATGCAATGTTCCCTTGTTCTGTTCTTGGTGTATGTTCTTGGTTTTGCATGAGCACAGTCAAGTGTTCAGGGATTCCCATTTTTCTAAATGTTAGACAGGATTTGTTGTGATCCACAAAGTCAAATGCTTGAACACTGATAGGCATCCTTCTGGTATTTTCGGTTTTCCACCAAGATCCATCTGTCATTAGCAGTGATGTATCTGGTGCCATGGCCTGTTCTAAATCCAATTTGAATTTCTGTTAGTTCTCTGTCATATGTTAGTTTTTGATGAGATTTTCTCTAATGCTGATGCCATATTATTCTTCATATAATCCAAATTCTCAGATTATTTGCTCAGCATATAGATTTAATAATTTCAGTGAAATAATACTACCTCATCACACATAGTTCTTGATTTTAAACCACATGTTGTTCTTGTTATTATGTGCCATCAATTTGACTATGACTCAGAGTGGCCATTTGAACAGTAGATCCGAATTCTGCTCTAACCTGAGCCAATCTCACTGTCTCTGACACATCTGTTCCTATTAGCTCAGTGATTGTGTGACTTCATCTCATCCAGGGTCTTCCTCTCCTGTGCTGATCCTCCACATTTCCAATCAATGATGTCTTTCTCCAAGGACTTATCCCTCCTGGAAACATGCCCAAAGTATGTTTAAAAATACTTTGAAGAAATATTAAAAATACTTAGACAAAGTTTAAAAATCCTTGCTTCCAAGGAACAACCCTGTCTTCACTCCCTCCAGGACAGACTTCTTTGTTCTCTTGACAAGCCATGGTGTGTTAAATACTCTTCTCCAGCACCACACTCAAAAGCATCTACTCTTCTGTCATCCTTATCATTGTCCAGCTCTCTAATGTACAGCAAGTAATTGAGAAGAGCATGGCCTGAATCAGGAGCACCTTGGTTTCCAGACTGACATCATTGCTTTTTAGAACTCTGGAGAGGTACTTTTCCAATGCAATTCATCTTTTGATTACCTGACTGCTAGTGCCAAGAATGTTGATTGTGGAGCCAAGCAAGCTGTAATTGTTAACAACCTCAGTCTGTTCTCCATGTTTAATGGTGCTGCCCATTGGCCAAGTGGAGAGAACCTTTGTATTCTTGATGTTGTACTGCAAGCCATAATGGAGACCGTAGTCTGATCTTCTGCAGTAAACACTTCAGGTTCTCCTCAGTTTCAGCAAGCAAGATTGTATCATCTGCATAACACAGGTTGTTGATGAGTCTTCCTCCAATCTACATTCCTCCTCATAAAGCCTAGTCTCTTGAATGATATGTTCTGCATATAGATTGAAAAGTTATGGAGACAGGACACATTCCTGATGCACTCCTTTCCTGATTCTGAACTGTGCAGTGTTTCCTTGCTCTGTTCAGAAGATTAGTTTCTGATCTAAGTATCGGTTTCACATAAGCACAGTCACATAATATTCCCTTGTTCTGTTTTAATGACTGCTTCTTGGTTTATGTGCAGGTTTCTGCATGAGCATAATTATGTGTTTAGGAATTTCAATCTTTTAATATTTCATCTATAATTTATCTTGATCCATGTAGTAGAATCGTTTTCATAGTCAAAGAAACACATTTTTATTCTCTGTTTTCACTCAAGATCCATTTTACACCAGCAATGATATTCCTTCTTCCACATCCTCTTTTAAGTTCAGCTTGACTTTCTGGCAGTTCTCTCTTGATACACCATTCTAGTCATTTTCAAATAATTTTTGGAAGATCAGCTATGATGTGATTCCAATTTGACACCAAGTAACAACAACAGCATAATATTATGTTGTATAGCCATCCTTTGGAATGTGTGAAAAATATGTATCTCTTTCAGTCAGTTGACCTTATCAGTGAAAACTTTATGAATAGTGACTTGACAGTGTTGTTAGGTGCCTCTGAGTCAACTTAACTCATAGAGACCCTATAAACAACAGGTTTAAAGCTTCTCTGATTCAGAGTCATCTTCACCATATGGTTGAGCCTATTGTACAGTCAGTGTGTCAATCTATCTTCCTGAAGGTTTGCCTCTCTTTCACTGGCCCATTTCCCCAGCATGATGTATTTTTCCAAGGACTGACCTATCCTTATAACATGCCAAAAGTAAGTGAGACATGCCTGTAAGGAGCACTTTGCACTTCCTCCAAGACAGATTTTTTTATTCTTTTCAAAGTCCATAAGATATTCAATATTCTTGAGCAAAACCACAAGTCAAAGGCATCTACTCTGAGTGAAGAATGATGATGCTTGAAAGATAATTTTGACACTCAACCTAATAAATTCATTCTCTTAAAGCCCCTTATAAATTGCTGAGAGGAGAAAAAACATGATTGACAAGCAGAAGTCAAAGGATCAATAAAGGCTAAACTCTTTTTTCAGCCATATGATCAACAAGTCACATAGCTGATCATTCTTTGGACATTAGCATTCTATTTTACTTTTTGCTTTATAATTTTGTGTCATTTTCCTACTGCAAAGTTTCCAGTAATGGTATAATCCTAAAATATTTAGATATTCAAGGCTCTTCATGATCAACCTTTGACCACCATTTCAGGAATGTTCTCTCATTCCTTACTGCACTCATCATTTCCTGAAGATGTTCCACATTTCCCATTTGCCCCTTGGCTTATTCTGTCTCCTAAGTTTGTAAAAACTAACCCATAGATTCCCTTGTTTGGTTCTTAATCTTCCTTGCTATATGACAGCTTATTTGTTGAAAATTTGTTATTTATTTATATCATCAATCACTTAAAATTTTTTATTGATTTGCATACAATAATTTGTTTACATTGTGTTTCATTCGTGCACATTGTGAACTTTCTTGTTCCCTTTCCCCCATCATCATTCACTTTTATACAATCTTTCATACACATTGTTCCATTAATGTACATTTTGTTTTAAACAATCATTTCTGTATATTGTGTTTTATATAATAAATTACTATTGATCTGGTACTTTTCTCTCCCCATCTCCTGAAGCCCCCATTGCACCTAACCTATTCCTTTACACACCCACACCCAGACCCACACCCACCCCACCTCCTCACTAACCTCTGCCTGAGAAAAAATGAGACAAAGAAAATATGTCTATTTAAATTAGAAAATAGGAACAATATATATGTAATTACTTAAAGGGGAAAGATTCACCAGGGACCTGAAAAGAGCAGGTAATGGTGGGCATAGTCCAATAGTGATTAATTTTATAAAATACAATGTATGAGGATGATTGTATGAAATGTCTATGAAGAATACTAAAAAGGGGAGAAGAAATATGCAATAGGAAATCACTATGACAAAATTATTACAAAAATTAATTTTATAGCAAGTAATTGCAAAGACAATGTCCTGAATCGGGCACACCTTAATCTCTAGACTGACATTGTTGCTTCTCAGTACTCTGGAGAGTTTCCTGATAAGTGATTTTCCTAGTGCAATTTGTCTCTTGATTTCCTGACTGCTTGTCAAGAGTGTTGCTCACCAACATCCAAGATACCAACTTTTTAGGTCTTTCATTACAAATAAATTTTACAGCCTGCGTGTTCAGAATGCTTGCTCTGAGCTGAGTAGTCTATTTTCTATTTGTGTCTTTGTACCTTTAAGCAACGGAAGTCACAGTAAGAGGCCTAAAGGTGCCCTGTACCTTTAGGCAAGTGATGTCACAATAGGAGTGACCCAAGCTTTCAGAATTTCCACTTTGTGATGCCCTCATGTCATCACGTAGTTTCTGAAAGTGCCTTTTAAGACTCAAAGGCAGACTGGTAATGTGAAGCATTTTTGTTGGTTTTAGATCTCCATCCCGCGCTTTGTTGAGCCCAGCTCTGGCTCCAGCATCGGCCTGTGCTCCAGCACTCACACTTCTCTCACGGTAAGGTCACGGCCTGTGGCTCTGTGAACAGCCACACAGAGATGAACCCCAGCGCCCCCAGGTATCCCAGGGCCTCTCTCTACGTGGGGGACCTACATCCAGACGTGACCGACGCGATGCTCTACGAGAAGTTCAGACCGGCCGGGGTCATCCTCTCCATCAGGGTCTGTAGGGACATTGTCACCCGCCGCTCCTTGGGCTACGCCTATGTGAACTTTCAGCAGCAAGCGGATGCTGAGCGTGCTTTGACCACCATGAATTTTGATGTTATCAAGGGCAAGCCAGTCCGCATCATGTGGTCTCAGCGTGATCCAGCGCTCCGTAAAAGTGGAGTGGGCAACATTTTCATAAAAAATTTGGACAAATCCATTGATAATAAGGCACTGTATGACACATTTTCAGCATTTGGTAATATTCTCTCATGTAAGGTGGTTTGTGATGAAAATGGTTCCAAGGGCTACGGATTTGTGCACTTCGAGGCACAGGGTGCAGCCGAAAGAGCTATCGAAAAAATGAATGGGATGCTTTTGAATGACCGTAAACTATTTGTTGGGCAATTTAAATCTCGCAAAGAACGAGAAGCAGAGCTTGAAGCCAGGGCAAAAGAGTTCACCAATATTTACATTAAAAATTTTGGAGAAGACATGGATGACAAGCATCTTCAAGATGTGTTTGGCAAGTTTGGACCTGTTTTAAGTGTGAAAGTAATGACTGATGAAAGCGGGAAGTCTAAAGGTTTTGGATTTGTGAACTTTGAGAAGCATGAAGACGCACAGAAGGCCGTTGATGAGATGAATGGACAGGAATTCAACGGGAAACAAATTTATGTTGGTCGAGCTCAGCGAAAAGTGGAACGACAGACGGAACTTAAGCGCAAATATGAGCAGATGAAGAAAGATAGGTTCATCAAAAACCAACGAGTTAACTTATATGTGAAAAATCTTGATGGCAGTATTGATGACGAACGTCTCCACAAAGAGTTTTCTCCATTTGGTACAATCATTAGTGCCAAGGTTATGATGGAGGGTAGTCGCAGCAAAGGATTCGGTTTTGTATGTTTCTCTTCCCCAGAAGAAGCCACTAAAGCAGTTACAGAAATGAATGGTAGAACTGTGGCCAGGAAACCATTGTATGTAGCATTAGCTCAACGCAAAGAAGATCGCCAGGTTCACCTCACTAACCAGTACATGCAGAGAATGGCACGCATCCGAGGTGGGTACAACCGAGTCATCCACCGCTGCCAACCAGCACCTTACTTCATGGCAGCTTTCCCAAGGATTCAGAACCGTGCTGCATACTACTCTCCTACCCAAATTGCCCCGGTAAGACCACGTCCTCGCTGGACTGCCAGATCTTATCCATTCACAAATATAGCCGGTGCTACCTTCACACCTGGTGCCAGACTACCATTTAGTGCGGTGAGACCAGCTTCACCAGTTCCACGATGTGTTACTAATATATCAACACAGGCCGTGGGTCCCCATCCTACAAATGTGGCTGCTGCAGGCCCTACTGCTTTTGTTTGCACTTTGCCTCAGGATGAATGTGCTGTGAGAGCTGACAATCTTCAACATCTTAATGCACAACCACAAGTTACCAAGCAGCAGCCTGCTGTTCATGTACAAGGTCAAGAGCCTTTGACTGCTTCCATTTTGGCATCTGCCCCATGTGAAGAGCAAAAGCAAATGTTGGGTGAAAGGCTCTTTCCCCTTATTCAAGCCATACACCCTGAATTGGCTGGTAAAATCATTAGCACGGTGTTGGAGATAGATAATTCAGAACTTCTTCATATGCTTCAGTCTCCAGAGTCTCTTCATTCTAAGGTTGATGAAGTTGTAGCTGTACTACAAGATCACAAAGCTAAAGAGGTTGTCCAGACAGCAGGTAACAGTGCCACTGGTGTTCCAACTGTTTAAAATTATTGGGGACGTTAAAGAAACTCGTGCTTCACTGAAGAAAAAGAACTAAGCATCGAAAACCTTAAATATTGTGGGGGGGGAAATACCCACTGCAAAAACATAAAATAAAAAAAGGAAAGGAAACTTATGCAGTGTTCATTGTTTATCCCTCTTGTCTTTCCAGTCCTGTTTTATAACAGTGGTTTTATATAGTATCTATCTTTATTTTATT